CTATCTATAATTTCAAAAGGCAAAGCTTGATTTTTGCCATTTTATATTTTACTATGTGATTGTATTTAATGGGACTCGAACATCCACAGATTTTGGTATCCATGGGTGTTTCTGGAACCAAACCCCAGTGGATACCAAAGGCTCATTGTATTTGTTGCTACAAGAGATAAAACAATGACATTGGTACCCATCATTCAAAGAAACAATGAGTAACCATGTTTCATTTAACAAGTCTGCCATGTTGATTTGATACACGAAACAGAAGATCTCATAAACACTTTTCTGCACCCCTGGAAATCATAATGCAACAATATTTCACACCATTTTGGGGCCAGTCCTGCCAAGTCCAGAGCACTAAGTCTCAGCTCATAGTTTCCTACTCCTTTCCCACTGTGTTTAGAAACTGTAGTCACTGGAAGAGCAAGAGAATTCAACAGATCTTAGAGGATCCTAAAGATATGGAGGCAAGCTCACACACTGATTATGCTGCAGGTGCTCTTTTGTTGGGGAAGGAAGGAATCACTCATAAAATCAATACCTGCTCTTCACGGGAGTGAGATTAATCTAAGAGAACAGAAGCAGCATTTTTGCAGCTGGTTGGTTTTGGTAATCCATTATTAATGCCTGAGTAAGGCCTGGCTCTCACTGAGGTGGGGAGCATGTATCTGGGTGTATCACTGCAGAGAGTGAGAGAGGTGCATGGGGCAAAAATGCTTCCAAAGGCCATAGTCCCTTGTGACAGGACTTGTGCCATGAACTCATGTCAACAGCCTACAGTGACCATGTACCAAACAGAGAGATGTAACATGTCCAGCAAATAGAGGACACAGATTGGTTTAAAATGTCGAGAGGTCCATTTTTTTAAAACTGATGTTATAGCAATTACTTCAAAATGTCCAATGGTGATGCATTTCCATTCTCTTTCCTCCCCTCCTTTCTTTCTGTTTTTTTCAATATTATGGAGGTCCCTAAGGAAACACATGTGTCTCCTAGAGATGTCTCTGTGGCTACATCTCCCCAGTACTACCCCCACTACATTTTTAAATGATGCATTCCCCCCCCCCCCCCCCCCATTTCTGTGTTGTTGGAGAGTGGATGGTTCAACAAAGATTTCTTGTTGTTGTGAACTGTCTTTGCATCAATCTTGGACCATGGCAACCCTATGGATATGACATCTCCAAGGACCTTATCACACGCTGCTCTCAAAAGTGGCAAGAAAGCGATATGAGCATCATTCCAGTACTATAGTGCTAGTATAAATATGGCGCTAGCGCTATAATAGCGCTATGGATCAGCTCGCGTTATTGCAATGCCCGCTGAAACGGACATTCAAAAGAATGCGAATGATGCTACATTCCGAGTGGTTTCTCGCTGGATTCCGAGCGACGTCGTGTGATCACGTGGGACAATATAGAGCTATAGCACCTGATTCTTAGTGGATTCTGAGCGACGTCATGTGATCACGTGGGAAAATATAGCGCTATAGCGCCTGATTCTTAGTGGATTCTTGCTGCTTTTGGCCCCGTGTGATAAGGTCCCAAGACCCTCTGTCCTCCACTGCTCTGCTTCAATCCTGCAATCCCATACCTGTGTCCTCCTTAATAGAGTCCATCCATCTAACATGTGGCATTCCTCTCTTTCTACTTCTCTCTACCTGTCCTACCATTATTGTCTTTTCTAGCAATTCATGCCTTCTTATGATGTGTCCAAAGTATAATACGTCCAGCTATTTACTGAAAACTGGATGTGCTGCAAGAAGGCATCCACAGGGACCTCTGGGTGTCCTTGGATGACCCTTGGGGATGACATCCTTGCAGGCATCCAGCTACAGGAAAATACCTGGATGTGACTTTGCTGATCTCCCTGCCCTCCAATGATATGGAAATGGCTGCCCCGGAGGGGCTGCATAGCTGAAAAGATGAATGTGGAGGGATCTTGGTCATTGCATGCAGTGGCATCACTAGCTAGGGAGTCACCGGGAAAGGGCACACATTCACCCCTCCTGTGCTCCATCATTGGGCTTCCTCCCCAAGGAGGCAGACAAATGATGGAGCAGCCAGGAAGGGCGTGAATTCCCAACCGAGTGTCACCCAAACTTTAAGAAGTCACCCGGTGCAGTCTGAACCCCTCGCACCCCACTAAGTGATGCCACTGATTGCATGGTTGGTAAAGAATTTGGATATTGCCAACAATAAAAAAGCAAGTTGTGATAGCGTAAGTTGGATGTGTGCTTCCTTAACTCACTCATGGCATGCCAGCCCTTATTTCCTCTACATAAAAATCACTTAAGGTTTGAAAACACACACACACACATTTGCCCCTCTCATGTTACCAGCGCATGTTAATAGGTCATAGAAGATCATTTCTTGTCCTTGTTAGTAACCCATTGGATGAGACAAAGAGAGAGGGCGAGAACACTTCCAGCTATCAAGCTTGAATTTGCAGGTCGGTCCCAGGATGCCCTGCTGGTCTTTTGTCCTTGTCACTCATTCAGTTCCAGACCTATCCACTACCATGCACTGCACTTGACCTTTGCCCTGCCAAATGCTCATTTGGGATCATGGGGGGGGGGAATCATGCTTTGTCTCTCTAATTCTATCTGCTAGTCCTCTCCCCTAGACAAGTCCCCTCTTACTATAACAGTAAGAAAGGAGGGTCATTTCTCCTGTCGTGACCTTTTTTGTGGTTATTAGAAGGAATATTACCTCTGCTGCAAGGATGTTGTTAGGAGGTACAGAGAGAGAAACGTAACATGTTTCAAAGCATATGGCACTAACACAGCTGCTACCTCTTGCTTCCTATATCCTACCTTTTGGGCCATTTTGTGTGACTTGGCTTTTCTTCAGTCTCTGATAATCTTATGGCTTGTCTACATTATTCTCTTTTGTATTTCATTTTATTCCATTTAAAATATCTGTCCTTCCTTTCCACTAAAGTCATCTCCAAGGTATCACATATAGTATTCCTAAAACCAATATTTGAAAATAAAAATAAACATGTTACCTGAATCTAAACCATGCAGCAAATGTTTTGCCATGGATTGCCCTAATTCACTGTACTAGCCATCCAGCCATCCAGCCATGCCTTCTTTTAGGAACCAGCCATGATGTGCTTTGGCACTAACATCTATTTGCTGCTCCTACTTTGAATGGTCAGGATTCTGTGGCCCTTGGACATCCTTTTACATCAAGGGTGAACAACTACTATGAGACTGGGAACCAATTTCCAGGTTAGCCGAGCATGTAAATGCCAAACATTTTGGTTTGGTTTTCCTTCACCTTTTTTAAAAGTCAAAATATTTTACAAAATAGCTACATGTAGGTAGCTATATATTCAAATTTAGCAGAAATTAATTAAAATTAGTCAATTAACATTAATTAAAATGACAACCTTAATATGATAAAATTCATTATGAATTCCTCATTTATTATTTTAAAAAATTAGTCCAGTCAACTAGATTATTATTAAATTCATATTTATATCTACATGGACCTTTATGTAATACACAGGGGATTATCGCACCTTCTCCTGGACTGGCTTACCTCTTGCAAATTAGAGCCCAATTCAGGTTGGAGCTGGGTCATAACGCATGGCTTTTGCCCCTAAAAGAGCCATCTGGGTGCATACCCTCTGAGGGATGCACCCAGATGGCTCTTTTAGGAGCAAAAGCTGTGCGACAAGAGCCAGTTCCAGCCCAAATTGGGCTCTAATTCACAAGAGGTAAGCTGGGTCTGGGACGAGGTGCAATAATCTTCATGTATATTAGCTTTAATTAATATGATACTGGCTGGAATCCTATTGGTGACTTAGCTACATAACTGGGTACCATGCATGTATGTATTCTTTTGGACAGGGCACAAAGGCTATTCAATAGCAACTTGAACACCATCCAACACCTGTCAAGCCCTGAGGGACCACTCCTGCCATGGTTTGCTGGCCTGGAAGGGAAAGGGCAGAAAACCCAGGAGAGAAAGAAGTGGCTGGTCTCAACTGCAAGGGAACATGAAATGAGGGTGGGTTTCATGGTTGAGCTGGGAATCGAACTCTGGGCACCAGAGTCATAGTCCTTAAAGCACTGTGCCATGCACTGTAGTCAAAGGGAAAGAGAGCAACACCTGCTACTACTAATGGAATTATCAATATCATGGCCAATATAATAAGAGATTATTTCACCTCCCTTTCCTTCCATGCTAGATGCGGTATTTAAATTTCAATAGATGGATTTTAGTGCACACCCCTGTGCCCAGGCAGTAGGCATCCCATAACTGATCCGGGCTTCCTATGCCCGATCTGGGCTTTTCCCATACCTTGCAAATGAATGGGAAAATCCCATTCTTTGAAAAGTGTGGGAGAAGCCCGGATTGGGCATGACATGCCCGGATTGGGTACAAGATGCCTACTGCCTGGGCATGGGTGTGTGTGATAAAATCCGTCTATTGAAGTTTACATCCCATGTCTAGAACAGGAGGAAAGGGCATGTGATAATCTCCATAGGTGATTCAGTTTCATTTAGTTCATTATTAGTAGTCAGTATTGTGGTCAATGGTCAATATCTTGCATCGTATGTCCATGCATACAACTCCACATCTCGCAGCAGCTGTCAAGACCCAAGGGGGACACTGCTGGTGCTGAGTGACAGGTGTGTGTGAGGAGAAGGAGGCAATTTAGGAGATGATGAAGGAGCAATCTCAGCTGTGAGGGCAAAAGAATCAAGGGAGTTGTTGTTCCCTTGCTTCTTCTGCCCTCATAGCTGAGATGGCTCCTTCTTTATTGCACACCCCTCAACATCAGCATTGCCCCCTTTGGGTCTTGACAGCTGCTGGGAGGTGTGGCACTGTATACATTGAGCATTCTGCTTGAGATACACAATGCTGGATTTTGGCCATTGACCATGATACTGACTACTGATATTGAACTAAAAGAAATTGAATCAACTATGATATTGGCCATGCTGTTGATAATTACAATGGCAATAGCAGATGTAGTTTTTTTTCCTATTACAGTGTGTGGCATAGTGCTTTGAGCGTTGGACTATGACTCTGGAGAACAGGGTTCGATTCTCAGCTCGGTCATGAAACCTACTAGGTAACCTTGGGCAAGTCGCATGCTCTCAGCTTCAGGGAAAGGCAATGACAAGCTTCCTCTGAACAAATCTTGCCTAGAAAGCCCCATGATAGGTTCACCTTAGGGTTGTCATCATAAGTCAGAAGTGACTTGAAATCACACAGTAACAAGTGAATTTGGTGACTTATTACTGCCAATTTCAGTGGCAAGCCACAAAAAAGGACTTGGAGGCTGCATGTAGCCAACAACCCACATTTTGCCCACCCTTGTTTTATCTAACGATGGATCCTGAAATCTATGGTGGGTGTACTTGCAGTATGGCTCTGTCTTAATGCTTTTTAGCTAACCCCCTTTAACCAAGGAGGCCTTTCATGCAGGTTACATCTTAGGGAGATGTCAAAACATTTAACCCCCACAAGCATGTAAGGCCTTTTCTTTGCAAAACAGGAGCTCTGCAGCCTCCTCTTCCCAGAAGCATTTAATGCTGGTGTGTGTGTGTGTGTGTATCTGTTGTGTTAACAGAGCATCTAATGTGACTAAATAGGACAACCTGCTCTCCCATCCCCATGAAAAATAAATGATGTGCTTTATTCATTCTCTCAGCTTGGCTTCCCCACCTCCCTATGAGTTGGCCACAATGGGACAATCTCCATCCATCCCCCTTTTCAGGAAAGCCCTTCCCTAGAGACCAAAGCAGGGTGCCTCATCTCAGGAGTGGGGGCTGCTCAGTGGAGAGGGTGACCTGAGCTCGTGTTTATCAGAGCACAACAGTCTTGTTGTTGTTTTAAAAAATAAGAAGTTGGGTAGGGTGGAAAGGGGTGTGAGCATGCATGGGGTGTGTGGAATCTGCGTAAAATGCAGCCAAGCAGCAGCTCACCCTTTTAAATATTAATCATCCCTGCTTCTGCAATTTTGCCAATGCGTCTGGGCCCACCACTGTTGAATTTTTCATTAACACCACTCACTTCCAACAGCATTTCACCCACTTTCCTCCTTCTGGAATCCCTTCCTCCTCCTTCCCCCCTCCCCACAGGCTCTTGGCTTTACCACCCACTCTCTCCTCAAGGTTGATGGCAACATCACATCCCAGAGTCCATTCCAGTTCCCTGGCCAGGCCAGTGGCTGGGAGGAAGTCCCAATGGCAAAGGATGTCCACACATGCCAGGGGAAGGCTGTGAGTAAGAACCAAGTCAACAAGTGACCCATTGCATAAAACATGAGCTAGGTCAGGGTGGAAAGTGCTGACAGGATGCAGGAGGAGAACCTCAACCCAAAGTCCTTGGCTCTTTGGAGCTTCTAGCTAGGCCAAGGCACACAGCAGTGCATGTGCAAATCCTATTTCTCAAGGCACTCAGCCTGAATGGCTGGCCTTTCTAAATACTTATTATACAAAGTAAAGCTGGGTTTCTCTCTTCTCCCACCAAGAATTTGTTTAAAAACACTTTTTTGGACTGCACCTCCCAATATCCTTTCATGTCAAAGTGCTGCCTGGAGCTTTCCTAGGTGGTGCTTTGATTGGGAAAGTGGCTTGTCTCCCCCTGACTTCCATGGATGTTAAGGTGAGTGGGGAGTGAAGGTGTCCACAGAAATCCTTGGCTCCTGCTATGACTTCTGAGAGAGCAAAAGGGGAGGGGAGAGTAACCAGGTGATCTCTGTTGGCTCAGTTAGCCCCATGGGCCAGAAAGTTCAACCTCTGTATAGGTCATGCACAGACACACACCATGCATCAGGTGCAGAAGCTGTAAAAGTTACACTTTGGACTATTTCTTGTTAAGTGCCCTTGAGCTGAACTTGACTCGTGGCGATCTTGTGGATGAGACCTCTCCAAGGCCCCCTGTCCTCCACTGCTCTGCTCAGGTCCTTCAGGCTTAGCCCCATGACCACCCTGGTTGAGTCCAACCATCTGATATGTGGTGTCCCTCTCTTCCTACTGCCTTCTACCTTTCCTAGCATTATTGTCTTTTCTGATTAATAATGTCTTCTCATGATGTGGCCTCAGTCTAGTCATCCTGGCTTCCAGGATGACTTCAGGTTTGATCTTTTCTAGAACCCATTTGTTTGTCTTCTTGGTCATCCATGGTATTCTCAATACTCCTTTCCACCACCACACCTCAATTAAGTTTATTTTCTTCCTATCTGCTTTTTTCACTGTTCATTTCTCACATCTATACATGGTGATGGGGAATGCAATCGATTGGGTGAGCCTTACTTTAGTATCCAGAGTGATATCTTTACACTTTAGGATCTTGTCCAGTTCTATCAAACCCTCCAGAATTCTCCAGATAGTATGTTCAGCTTTATTTACAACTGACAGTTGCTCTCAATACATCTAAGGCAGCTAGTCTTCCCTTCACTTGTTCTCTGAGGTCTTTACAATTGGAAACCCTCTGGATACAATGCATGTGCTCTACCATCAGGCTATGGACTCTTCCTAACTCAGCCACCTTTACTTGGAGCAAGTGCTAGGTTCCAATAACATGAGATTTTTGATTTTCTACTACCAAGTTCATTCTGTCCCAGTTCCATACAAATGTTCCCTACACAGAAATCTAGGTGTAATTTGAAGCATTTAATTTTTTTCTATATACACACCAATTTCTAAAATGGTCTATGCATATTTTAGAAATTTACATAGTTCTCCTTTCCTGAAATGGATCACAAGCTTGGAAATGTATGGGTCTCCAGCTAGAAATTCAATTTGGTTCCACATTTGGGTCCAGAGATGTGGACTGCATAAATCTATTAAATTGTGGTTTTTTTTTTTAAAAAAGAAAACCTTCATTGAAATATATTTCTTTCTCATCTCTACTTTTAGCTTTTAAAAATAACTGCTCACCTTCAGCTTCAGTCATATTCAGGAAAGCGACGGCAATCTTCTAATTCCAAGTGAATTTATTTTTTTGTGGGGCAGAGACTTTGTAACACTACAAGAGATGTCATGAAAACTAAGGTAACAGCCCATCTCGACATTTTTAAAGAGACTTTTCCCCCCAATGAAGAACAATATATGTTAGACCAAAGTAGTATAAAAAGGAATGGAAATTGCCTGGTATCATCTGAAACCCCAAGTGTCATCCAGCAGCTGTTTCACTAGCCTGAGAAACAAGGAGAGAGAAAAGAAAAAAAGACCATTCTTCCTGAGCATTAGTGAATGATAGATCCTGTGTGAGTAGGGTAGTGAGTTCACCCCAGATTCTAGCTGAAACTCAGAAGGAGCTGAAACTTGTCCTCCACATAGAATACATAGAATCAGTACCTTGGATAACTCCTTCAGGCCTTTTCAAAACCTGGAGTAGATTGAATGCTCCTGAGAAGTAGACACCACATATTAGATGTTAGTGTGATGTGGGAGATTTAATGTGTGTGTGTGTGTGTGTGTGTGTATGCGCTTATGCATGTAAGTATAAATACTTACGATTTCTCAACTAAGAAAAATAGCAAAGAAAAGACGTTTCATTCTGGTGGTATTTACTAGATACTGATCCACCACACTCACTCCTTGATCTATAGCAGAGTGCATGGAACTGGATAAGGTTGTTCAACCTGGACTTTGTAGCATATCCTCAATTAAACCCTCACAATTTCATATATACAATGTCATAAACATCAACCCTCTCTGCTAGAGCCTTGTGTATTCTACCACCCTATGCTCAACTTGGACACTTCTAAAGATATAAGTATATCCTATGTTCCCCCCCCCCCCCCCCAAGGAAACTATTTATATGAACACCTGTCACTGGAATCTACAATAACTCAGATTAGCATGAAGCTATGAAACATTTTTCTTTTTCAACAGCCAAAGGAAAATTACTTGTCAGTTTCATGAGGGATCTGAAATACTTCTGTTTGTTGTTGTTGTGATATTCAGAAAAAGTCATGTCTCTTTAAAATATCAAACGTGATAACTAGTCTTATTAACGTAAAGCTCTTGCATTCCCCCTCTTGCCTTATGAAAAATTCAGAAGGGTTGTCACCCATGTCTCAACAAGGCTGCGAGCTGGTTGGCTTTATTTATTGCACATTTTCATAAACATTGCATGAATTAAATGCGCACACAGTATTAATGGGTTGCCAACACTTAGAGGCAATTTTATACAGTGGGCTGAAAGAACTGTGATGAGGGTAACTTGGCTTTTGGAATGTTCCATCTCCTTGTGGGCCCACACAAAGGCAAAAGCATATTCACAGAGAAATGGCCTAAGTTGTTCTGCTGTCCGAGGCACAAGGCAAGATAGTGCCCTCCTCCATTCTAGCAGCAGAAGCTAACTGAACCAGCAGTTGAATCTTCATTCCTCACTAGCAACAGCATAAGAATCTCGACCCTGTTTGAGGGCTGCAAGCTAATTGTGTGTCTGTGTCTGTGCATGCCTGAATGCATGCGGTACATGACACACACATTTCTAGGGTTCACAGATCTCAGGGCCAGGACTCTTTTCTCTAGGCTTCAGAGGAAGAGGAAAAGAATCACGGGGTGAGAGAGACACCTTGAAAAGTGTATATGTGTGTACAGCTGGCCCTCCACATTTGTGGCTTTGACTTTGGCGAATTTGATTATTCATGGATTTGATTAATATGTTCTCTCTAGGAATTTCTAGGTCCTCCAGCATGACTCCATCTATGGTCAACATCCACCAGAAGTTGTGCTGAAGGTCCAGGAGATTTTCAGAGAGAACACTTCTCCAGGAATTTGTAGGTTCTCAAGTGCAATTTTATGGTCAACATTCCACAGATGTTGACCAAAGAGTTGTATTGGAAGAAGAAAAGTTTCCTAGAGAGGTGTTCTCTCAGGTAAAGAAAAAGTACTTTTGAGGGCTCTAGGATGAATGGCTGCTGATGCTGCCTAAGGCAATTGTCTCATTTTGTATAATTAGTCTGAGAAAACTGTTTGCCTATAATTTATGAAGGACATTTATAGCTTACTTTACCTCCAATGAATTCAAGGTACATAGCTCCCCTCCCTCCATCTTTTCTTACAACAACCCTGTGAGGCAAGTCAGGCTGGAACGGA